AACTTTTTTTTTGTTTTGCTTTGTGCTTTTTTGTTTTGCTTTGTTTTTTTCTTTTGCTTCGTGCTTTTTTGTTTTTATTTGTCCTTTTTTGCTTTGATTTTTTCCCTTTTTGTTTTTGTTAATTTTTTTTTTGTTTTTATTAATTATTTTTTGTTTTGCTTATTATAATTGTGTTAATTTTTAATTTTTTTAAATTCTTTAATAAAACGAATTATATATATATATATATACATATTTATGCATATACATACAACATACATGTGCGCATTTTGATTATATTAGATTACCCATGTGAAACAAAACAAATTATAAAAATGTTTCCAAATTTTTTATGACAAAAAAAAATAAAAAATAAACAAATAAATATGCATTTACAATTTTGATTTTTTAAAAACAAATTAACTTTTTGTACTGTCTAAAAAGTTTTTAATAACTATAATTTTTATTGTGGCGAAATACCTTAACCAAAAATCATTTTCACTAATTAATTTTGGTACAATATTATATCGAATTGTTTTCAAATTCGTTATTTCTTTTAATAAACACATAGCCCATGATACTTTTGTATCATCAAAATTAAAAAAATCAATACTATTTCCTTCAGTAATATTTAAAAAATTGTTTTCATCAAGTGTTATATCTTTTATTTCTTCAATTATTTTTTTTATAATTGTTATATCCATACACACATTTAAGTCCGAACTAGCCCATTCTATAATTTCGTCCCATGGATATTTTAATTCAAACTCTATTAAAAAAAAAAAAAAAAATAAATAAAATAAAAAAAAAAAATACTATATACGTCTGTGTATGTTTATATATATATATAACTTGCACTTTGTACGGAAAAAAACAGAATATGCATCATCACTTATTTATTCATAACATTTATTTTGTTTTTACTATTATTTAATATGTTTAATTTGTATGTATACATGTAGATAATTGTTAGGAACACATATAGATGTACATTTTCATTAAATGAGAATAATGTGGTCATAAACAAATACGGATATAAAGAGTTATACATATGCATCGCACACATGCGTAACATAATATATATTTTTATATACTTATATAAAAAATATTAAAATTTATTTCATGTATAATGTACTATATATATGTGTCCTTTTTTTTAATTTTCTTGTTTTTTATTTTTATATTTAACCTTTATCATATTGAATCTCACATAGTTCATACTTTTTTCTTCGAGCATGTTTGTTTCCCATTATAACATATTTGTAACTAACATCATTTAGCCAACCAGTTTTTTTTTTTTTTTTTTTTTTTTTTTTCTTTTTTTAACTCGTTGGACTGATTGTTAAATAACTTTCAATTTATTTTAATACATGAACAAATGAAAGAAAATGGGAAATTAAAAAAAAAAAAAAAAAAAAATTAAAATAAAAAATAAAAAAAAAAATAAATAAAACAAATAAAACAAAATAAAATAAAAAAAATATAGTGTTGAATAGGATAAAGCTTATGTTTGTATATATATTAATACATAAATTAAGCATGCACAAATAAAAAGATAAAAGTTTATTCGGGACAAGCTAAAGAGTCAAAAAAAAATATATATGTATATATGCGCATGACTTATTTTGATATATACAATCTAAAAAAATGAAAATGAAACATATTAAGGTTAAATAATAATAAAATTCAACTAAAATAAATAAAATATGGTATTTAAAAAAAAAAAAAAATATATATATATTTTTTTTTTTAGCAGTGTGAGAATCACATAATTCATCCAATTTTATTATTTTCACTTACAACTATTTTTTTATTTTTTTTTTTTTTTACATTTATTATGTCAATAAATAAGTAAAAAAACACACAAACAAACGTATATACATACATACTAACAAACAATTAGATGAACATAATGATTGAGTTTTTGTTAATGGTTAATAAACAAGGACAAACGCGGCTAAGCCAATATTATAACAATTTAAGTATTGAAGAAAAAACTATTTTAGAAGGTGAACTGATACGAAAATGTTTATCTCGAGTCGATTATCAATGTTCTTTTTTACAATTCAGAGAATATAAAATAATATATAGAAGGTAAAGCAATATACTTAATAATAAATTATTATTTACTTATATGTACATATATATGCACATACATATATATACATATATATATATATATATATATATATTTATATATATTTTCACAGATATGCCAGCCTGTATTTAATCGTAGGCGTCATTAACCAAGATGTAAACGAATTCGCTATACTCGAAATGATACATAATATTATTGAAATTTTAGATAAGTACCATGAAAACGTTTGTGAATTAGACATAATGTTTAATATTGACAGAACTCATTTTATTATAAGTGAAATTATATGTAATGGTGAAATAGTTGATA